TATAATTCTAGAATATTCATCACAATTAATCTCTCAGACATAATTTCTGCAAGGGTTCAGGCTCAAAGCAACCACTTGTTGCATCTCAAAGAATAAGACATCATAGATGCAGAAAAGAATACTGCACAGTAAAAATCTGCCCATACAGAAAATATTCATTTAAAAAAAGTAATGATTTTAATCATAGATTCTGAATTCACGATCTAAAGTAAACTAAATAATAAAGATGGCATTTTGTAACTCAATTCTCAAACATGTATATTAATGGAATGATTAACATGTAATTTAAACTGAGAACATTTCACATTTGCATGAATTTCTAAAAAATGTAAGGGCTTTCAATAGCACACATCTGATCTAATAGAAAATCTATCTTCAGCGTTATTAGATTAGATGATAGCAAAAATCAATGATATGTGCAACATTAATATACATGTAATATAAAACGTCCAGTAAATTTAGTCATTTTCCAATAGGCTATAATTGCTAATAACATTTGTCTCAGTTAAGGTAATTGATGTTCACTTTTAAGTAACTATATTAGATAAGATGTGGGTAGGGATGGATAATACCCAGAAGATTATGTTTTGTTCCTGTATGTGGTTATTCAAGGAGATTTTATGGTTATTCCCAGAAGAATATGTGGTTATTCCCAGAAGAATATGTGGTTATTCCAGAAGATTATACGGTTATTCCCAGAAGAATATGTGGTTATTCAAGGAGATTTTATGGTTATTCCTAGAAGAATATGTGATTATTCCCAGAAGATTATATGGTTATTCACAAAAGAATATGTGGTTATCCCCCCCATTTACCATTTCCTATGTAGGTGTGCATGCTAGAGGCATAGACACTAGATAGACACATGGGCATGATGCCTAATAAATAAAAAACTGCCAACTAATTCAAAATTTAGGTGAGGCAAGAATTAGCAGGGAATAATTTGGATAAGACATAGCTATCTAATTTAACCTAAATGTTGTTCTGAAAACTAGATTCAAAGTTAAGTGAAAATGACTGCTTTACAGTAATGAAAAAGGCCTTCACTTTAGGTTAATTTATATTCAAATAAGATCATGAAAATATCAAACGTTGTAATGTTGTTTACTATTCAATGTTTACTATACTCTATTCATAACAGCTATATGAAACTTGAAGGTCATCCTACATTCAACTTTCAAACACACAAAAATATCATCACTGTGCGCTATTCAAACTCACAGATAAAACATATATTTAAAAATCACATTATTAAAATATACCTTTTGCCTGACATGTAACATTAACAGTGTATAAAGGTTTGTGATCATCATTAAGTCAAGATTTCCAATCATTCTCAAAATGTAGAGATAAAAGGATATGACTTGTTTATTGCAGTAAAGATGTTTCACAATTGTATCACAAGGCAATGATGACTCATCTAGACAGTGATATTTTAATTCAGTGAAATTATTATCATACAATTCTAAGAGATAAAGGCTGGCTATGACATGTATGACATGAATGTGTGTTTATGTGTGTTTTAGCTTGGATTACAAAGGGCAGTTTCTATGAGGACTATTACGTTTCATAACATTAACTTTCTAGAAAATTCTGTATATTCCAGCTAATCCCACATCTAATTGCAATTTCATATTTCCCCCACATCTTTGTCCCAAATGTTCAGGAAGGATCGATCAATGTGGCAGACTAAAGATTGATTTCAGGACTTCAGGTTAATAAACGATCAAAAGAAACAGAGACAAAAATAGGTTAAAATGACCCAATATGTTCCAAGTTTGTCCTAGAAAAGACATTTAACCCCTAGAAATAAATATGAAACAGATGGGAAAACATAAGGCGAGACAGCCTCCAACTCTCCTGAGAAAATTGATGATAATCTGACTTGATGAGTATTTTAAGAGGGTTATCAAGAAGTATGATATATCTTGTCATGTAATTGTGTTATACAATCCCAAATACAGTCATGGCAATAGTCTTGTACTAAACCAGATTCCATTATTTATTTCTCTATGAAGAAAGTTTGACTTTGTGACATTTCATGAACATTGAAGATGTTAGTACCAAAATTTTAGTAAGACTGTTAATGACTACTTCAGGAAGACTGTTGACTGTCTAAAATTACAACAAATGGCTTCAAGAAAAATGGCGATATTCGAAAACTGGACGAAATGTCGTTAATGTAAGGTAAGAAGTGTATGTCTCTGCAATTTGAGACAGCCACTTCTTTTTTGGCTATGAGAGAACTTTTAGGCTGGTGTTTAGAATTGATTGAAGTAAAAAATATGTGCGTGGCTAGCGCCGTTTTTTTTACTTTTGAATCTACCGTGAGCTTCTATTGAATGCTCCCAAGACCAGAATGGGATTGGAACTAGAATAAAAAACTCGTCAAGAGTTGTGCCTGTAGAAAACTAAAAAAGATGTATCATACATGTTTGAAAGTGTCTAGAATTTGAGGATAGGGGTCCAAAGTCTTACGCAATGATAGGCAAGATTTTTGAGATAACACACATGGGTTATAATCAATGACCCCTGTTACACAGGCCAGTTGAAATGCTTCGTTACGAAGCAATTTGACAAAAAGCTTCGTAACGAAGCAATTTTGGGCCAGTGTAACACCTCCGCCTTCGTTGGAAAAGCTTAGTTGATAACGAAGCAATTGAGTAGAAAATTCAACGAAGGTTAGCTCCCAACGAAGCTTTTTTGGCCTGTGTAACAGGTAGCTTCGTTAGAAAATGCTTAGTTGGCGGTTTGCGCATGCGCGTAATAAAGAGCACATTCATTATTTTGTATTAAATGAGAGGAATCGCGAGGAAAGAACATGTTTTTAAGTACGTATTATTATAATGCTACGTTTTGATTAAAATAATTACCTATTTGCGTCACTGATTGACGCTAACTCAAGCCCTAAACGCCACGTACAAATGTGATTTACCGTCTTTAGTAGCATTTCATTCGATTCCCTGCCTTTCCTCGCATTGATATGACAAAAAGTATTAAATCTAAAAAACGCAGGTTTTACCGTATATGTATACGGTAGTTTTGAAACGTTTATCTGATCTATTAGAGAATAAACCTAGAATATTTAAATGTCCCTCTTTCGGAAAACTCCGTCTCAAGTGTGGAAGGGTAAACTTTTGAAATTACATAAGATATGCTTACTAAATAGAAAGTTGTGGCATACATGTTTAATATTAATTTTTTCTTGTGCCTCGAATAATTATACCTTGAATGTAATTCTAAAGGTGTTAATACCATGATACTGATACAATTGCTTCACGGTGAATCACATCAGGGAATATAGCCGATTTGATTGATTCGAAAATGTCTCTCTTCAGAAATCGTATTCAACTGACTATCGCCCCATTCTGCCATTGCAATACATGTACTTGTACTAGTCGTTCCATTATTTTATTCTTGGACGATTTTAAATTGTAATTGAATTTAAACTTCATGTTTAAATAGTATTGAATTAATTACGTTTCAAAACTTCCGTATACAAATACGGTAAAACCTGCGGACAAGGAACGGTGGCTAAAATTGTTTCTTGTCGACAGATATTTGCCACAGAGAGGCTGCATGTTTCAGGCCAGCCCAAAACACTATTGATCTGTCGTAAGACGATGCTTACAACTGATATTCAAGTCTCTTCCTATTTGCGCCATTTTCGAATTCAACGGACGGCTGATGGATTAACATACTAATTTATGTCAAACTCACTCAAATATGCATGGAGTATTGGCGAGACGGGTAATATCATATTAAAATGAATTGGTCATGAAATAGTAGTTACACGCGGTCCTAACTTCGACCGTTAATTTGAATTTTTGACCTACCGGATGTTTGAAAATCAAGGATTACGAGTCTCATACTGCATCGTTTTTCTTTAAACTTGTTCCATTCAAAGCATAACAAAAATCCCTTTCTGATGGTACATTATTCTCTTAAACAGAGTCCACTTCAAGCGGCATTTTGGTCCCCAGCTGTAAGAAGGCCTTCTAACAACTGGGGACCAAAACGCTGCTAGAACGAGGGACTCTTTACAATAAAGTAATGCACCGACAGAAAGGCAATTTTGTTTTGCTTTTAATGGTATAGGTTTGAAGAAAAACGGTGCAGTATGAGACTCGCAATCCTTGATTTTCAAGCATCTGGTAGGTTGGAAATTCAAATTAACGATCGAAGTTAGGACCGCGTGAGTTAAACCACCAGCCGAACACCGAGATATTTTAGCAATGGCTACACTATTTGAAATGTAACTGAGAAGTCCATTTGGAAATTGAACGTTTTTATACGATATTACATACTAGTCGTCTGTATAAACCCCAAATCCAATTCCTCCTAGTAATTAACATAGGCCTATTTTTATTCCACATGTTTCCAAAGGAAATGATAATAAATGAAAACAATACTTGTAATCGTATTGACAGCTGAAATATATAAAAATCGAAATGATAGGAAAAATGTATGGACATGTGTACGGAATGATCACATTCATCTTGTTTTATTTTCCCGAGAATTTTGAACTAGTCTTTTCTGTGCTGATTTGTTAAAATAAAGATTAAAAATTTGATTTTTGAGTTTGATCAATGGTTTATATCAAAAGAATAAAAATATTAATCATAATAAGTGGGTGGGGCAGATGAGTAATGCGCACGCGCAACAAAGCATTTTAAGTGCAGTGTAACACCAAATAATTGCTTCGTTAGGGTTGGATAAAGCCAGTGTGGACACAATTTTTTCGCTAACCTTCGTTACAAAAATGCTTCGTTAGACTCAACCCAGCAGTGTAACAGGTACCATTCTAAAGAAACAGACAAAAATAAGTCTGAATGCTTTTTATGTTTGATAACTGAACTATGTAATGTTGTACGATATATGTATAACAGGATATAGACATTGTAATAACTTCCTCTGGCCTTATTTCCAAACCCGGAAGTAATATTTTTATTGAATCAACAGGTGATTTTTAAAAGCGTCACTGTCGTCTATTCACTTACCTAAGGTCAATCCGATCCCGACCACACAGGCCACTGCTATAAAGAGTATGTACTTCATTGTTCAGTAACTTCTTTAAGACAAATTCCTTTGTAAAAAGTGAGAAATAAAGTGAACTTCGTTTTAACAAGTTGGCAATTCTGATTACGTCACACCTGCTTCCGTTTCGAGGTGAATAATGAAACACCAAAAGCAGGATTTTAATTCGTTGGTAATCTTTTGTTTCAGTTTACCTTAGAACTGAACCAAGTATCATTTCACGTTCAATGTATTTTTTGTTTATTTTGCGATGGTCGAATCAATGAATAGAGCTCTGTAGGCCAGACCACCTGTCTTGAGATACCAAACCATAAGTCCACATGGGGTGATCACATGTGACCTACATAACCAGGAAGAAAACAAATTATGACAACTTTTCAAAATGACATTTATCGTGTTTAATTCCATTTATTACACCTTTCTAAGTATATATCATGGATGAACAGGAACGGAAGCCATTGTTAAACAACCGCACTCGGACCAATAGTGAAGGGGGTCAAAGATATGATGGCACAGGCTCAATCAACTATGACGGAAGTGTCACAAATTCAGCAGATTTTTCAATTCCTTCAACTTTGAGAACTAGATCACAATCTGGAATCAGTATTAATACACTACCGAGGCCTCCTTCTTCATCAACACTGTCAGGATCCATAGACTCACAAGAATTCTACATTGGTAAAATTTTGCTTGGTTCATGTTTCAACTTTCATGACTGACACATCGTCTGCTACAATGCTGATACAAATTAGGTCACGGCGCATGATGGGAAATTTTTTGCATTCCTCAATTGAGTCACATGTTATTTTTCAAACAAGAAGTCCGCCCGCTAAGGCTCAGTGGCAGAGTCAAGGTTACCAATATCGCTTGGCCCCGGGTTCGATTCCCGGTTCAGACAAGTTTGTTTGTGGGTTATGTAATTCTGGGTGTTTGACTGAGTGGTTCACAACTCGTATAAAAGGCTGCGGTGTGTACCTGTATGTCTGTGTACCTGTGCACACAAAAGAACACAGGGCTCCTCCAAGGAGGGGTTTCTGGTTCTGTCTTCGAGTGTAAAAAATGCGTAAAATACGGAATATACCAATGAGGTATTGCTCGCCAAATATGGCGGTAACCAAGATATAATAATAATAATGTGACTCAATAGAGGAATGCAGAAAATTTCCCAACATGCACCCTGGCCTTAAGGCTCAGCTGGAAAGTAACATTTTGGTAAAAAATTGCTATACCTGCACATGTTATTTTCTGGTACAAATTTAAGTATGAAGGCATGTGTGTATTTCCTTGCTTTTTTCAGGAAAGTATCATTACACTGTTACACTGACTCCTACCAGATATTCTGGTGATGCAGAAGCCATTATTAGTATCTTAGAAAACCACAAGATTCTGTACTGCCAATTCGACTTTATTAATGCAAACTTTTTCTTGGGGATTATGCCCCATTGACCCAACAAACAATGCCTGATTGCTTTGACTTAAAGGGACAAAGTGCGTAAATGAAGTCCCACTTTGATCTTCATAGTATTTCCAATGGATAAATAAGTACCTGATCTTCCATTTGACACCAAAAACAGCTCAAACAGACCACATCAGAGTTGACACTAGATCATGAAAAAATATTTTTGATCTATCAATTTATATATGTCAAGTTATTAGCAATGCCATAGAAAGATGGCATTGTTATTTGCATTAATTATCCATTCATTTTTGATAGGATTTTCAACCATAAGCCATCTTTTAATCCAAGAGTTATTTAAAACATACACTTTGGAAAAGTGGTAATTCACTTCTTTTAATCTCTGAACTTCAACTATTGTTATCTATGTGAGTAATTTTTTTTCACTTCAGTATTGACCCAAATTAAAGTTTTTATCATATTTGATTGACTGTGTGAGTGACATGTCTCAAATAATATTTTGTCCTTTTCCTTCAAAAATAGGCGCATTGCCTGTTTAATCTCTAGTTTTCATTTTGAAATTATTCTGTTTTAGACCCACTTACCCTCATACAAGCATGTGTATTTGTGGAAGATGCTGTTCAATATCGCTCAATACATCATAAAGTTGACCAGAAATCTTTGAAGCTTTACAAGTTCTACTATTCAAGATTGTATCAATGGTAAGTACAGTAGATCGATTCATGAAAGAACTAATATAATCAATATCAGATTTTGATCTCTGCTCTCTAGATGCCCATGATTGTAGAAAATGTTAAGCCTATGATTGTAAGAAGCCCATGATTGTAGGCCTAGTTCAAAGTTACATACTTTTCCTTTATTCAACAAAATATTGTATATATTTCACGATTATTATGTCACCACCTGAAGTCTGCAACTTTATTGTGGAAGGTATTCAGCAGTTGGTGTTCGGGATTCAGCGTCTGAAACTGTAACAAATGGAAGGTGGTGACATTTTGCATGTTAATGCCTTGTATAAATATGTGGTTCTTCTACCTGAAACATCCAAAGCGAGGAATTGAGGTAAATGAGGGACATGTATTTATAAGGCAATTTTGTTTTGTTAACATCATAAATTTCTAGTATCATCTATTGCAGTCAGATATAAGTTACCAGGGAAGATTTCATTTTGTATACAAATGTTAATTTACTGACTCAATCCCTATGTTAATCCCTATGTTAATATATGAATTTATATACACATATTTCAGGATGCTTTTCACAGTCATTTTCTTAATCCACATCCTGGCATTTTTCGAGACTCCTTCATCATTGAAAATGTCGTCTGATGTTCGAGTGCCAGGGGAGCGCATCAAAGTTCCATGTGGAGTCACTGAAGGTGTAGAGATTGTCTGTTTACTTTTCCTAACAGGGGATCTTGTTTTAAAGGTTAGGCAACCTAGATACATAAATGTATACTGATATGACCCCCTAATGCTTTTAATTACTTAGGATTTCAAAATGGCTCATCAAAATCAACTCTGATTTGGCAGCTTGAATTTGATCAATTGCTATTATGATTGGGAATCAAAGGATATATCTGATACAAAGAATGTAGATGAAGGTCTCTTTTAAAAAACCAAATGCAATTATTGAAAATGGCAAATAATGTGAGCGTGAAGTAGTGTGACTTGCCCTGATACCAGAAGACTTCTGGATATGTAAGTTTCAACTGTTTTGATATTACAGGGTTACTGTAGGGGTAAAAAGGAGATTATAAGGAGTAAATGGTTACTTGCTTACTTTGTGATCCTCGCAGTATCACTTGGAGACTGGTGCGTTACTATAGGATATGGCTGTTTAGAGGTATGTACACTAGAATACAAACTTCCTGGGAAGTATCTCAGGGATTTCACTAGAATTTCTCACAACAGGCTAAATAAATGAAAACAACATGAAAAAGTTGAAAAGTCCCTTAAAACAACAGGTTATTTTGTGAAAACAACTGGTGAAAAGTGATTTTCTGATAAATTTGTCAAATATATATAATACAGTATTGAAATTCTTTCTTAAAGTCAAACCAGGAATTGTATATTCAGTTTTTTATTTCATTCTGTAGGTCGTTAGGTTTAGGAGAATGTTGAGGCCGTTTTTCCTGCTACAAAATTCCACTTTAATGAAGAAAACTGTGAATTGTTTACGGAGGACACTACCAGAGGTTATCAGGTCAGTGCACAACTTCCTGTATCATGCTTTGTATTACATACCTAGCAAAGGTTTTACGCTACAGGTATTGATATCTAAACCAACTCAGGCATATTTTGACGCAAAAAAGGGAAATGGAATCAATGAATCTGTTTTTGGGTCATATAAGCAATTTCAAACTTAAATCCATTGTCAAGTCATTGGCAAATTGGGAGTCTTATAAAACTGTACCTGAATAAATATATGTACATGTAGATGTATTTAATTTTGGGCATAGCTTTTCCTCAGAGACTGAAGTTCAGACTTTCAAGGGTGTTGGTAATCCATGGAGCTACACTAGATGCCTTTATAATTGGCATTCTACAAGTTTTTCATGGTATAAGTACTGAATTATTTCAGTTGCTTATTTTGTGTCTGTTATGTGAGATAACATGCATTCTTTTGTTTTTCAGTGTATTGTTGCTGCTTGGTTTACATCTGTTCTTCTTCACTCTTCTTGGTATGCTCATATTTCCCGAAGAACATGTAAGTAGGCACAATAGAATATCCTTCATCAAAGTTTTGAGCATAAAGGTGCAATGTGGACAATGTCTTGGGATTTTATTGTGGATATATAAAACATGAACACAATCTGGGAAGACTACTTTGTTTTAAATTCAACAGTTTGAATCCTACATGTATATCAGCATAGTATAGATAACATGGCAACTGGTCGAAAATTTAGTTTCAACCTATATATCTGGAATGGTAACTGGTCAACTCGTACCCAAGACAACTCGTACCCAAGTCAAGTTGTACCCAAGACAACTCGTACCCAAGACAACTTGTACCCAAGTATATGTTTTGTTTTGAACCAAGTGTTGGGCTGGGAACGGGTATAGATATACATATTATAATGGTTACATACATTTCAGAATAGTTTGAAGTATGTAGAAGAGTTTTTGGAAGAAATCGATTGAAATTTGTGACCAAATATATTGGTCACAGATTCAGATGTTCGAGGGAAAAGATATAGGGGTTATTTAATGGGAGGGATGGAATATGGATTTTATTCCGAGGGAAAATATGATATTGGCCAAGGAAAATATCATATTGACCGAGGGCGATAGCCCGAGTGTCAATATGATATTTTCTGAGGCCAATATCATATTTTCTCAAGGAATAAATCCATATCCTTATGGTATTATCAAAAATATAAAGATTTTCAAAACTTGCGCCTATTTCTTATTAAACAGATAATCTATTTAGGATTTCATATTATCAGATTAAAGAATGATAATTCTAAGAAGTCACCTTCATAAAATTAAGCAATAAAAAATATTCTAAATAATATGAATATCAAATATTATTTTGATACTTATTCATACATGATATAATACACTTTGCATGCATGTGTTCAAATATAATCCAATTAAGTTCAAAATGGAAAAGAAATTAACAGATAAAAGTTCCCTTATTAAGTTTCTCTGACTGCACTAAGCTAAATTAATTGTTTGATTCATTTGTTGAAAAGTTACTGTTCTAATTATATTCATTTATATATATGTATTACAAAAAAAGTTGTGAACAAGCCTTTCAAAGCACTTCAAAGGTAATCCAAGTTAAAACAAAATGCTTTGCTTAATCCATTGAGAAAAAATGTCTTCTAAATTCAGAAAAGATATTTAGGCACATTATAACATTAAACATTTTGACACAGACTCAATTTGTTTTCTTATATGCACCCATAATACAGAAAATAAACGTGGGTACGAGTTATCTTGGGTACCAGTTGACTTGGGTACGAGTTGTCTTGGGTACAAGTTGTCTTGGGTACCAGTTGTCTTGGGTACGAGTTGACTAGGAAGCTCTGGAATCCTCATGGAACAAACTACAAACTTTGACGTCCCCTTTTAGGGATGCCTCAAGCCCTTAACCTTGTATACCCCCTTAAATACTATGTTTTTACACAAGGTTGAGTTATTTGATGCACAATTGGTCTCCCAATTAGCCTTCATATGAATATGTTTTATATTTATGTTTCAGCGAACTCCAGGAAAGATTGCACCATCAAACATGTCAGTCATAGTTGATCAGGTAAAACGAGCGATTTTTGCATTTAAATCAAAAAATCATGAATCAGTATTTTGTTTTAAATTCATTCATTTTTGTGTTATACTCTTCAGGGGTATTCAAATTAATACATGTATATCTACTTTTTTGTTATTTTTTCTCATTCAATTGAGGATTAAATATGATTGGTATATTGCCTTCCTTCAACCTCTTGAATCCCAGGCTCTAAAATTGATTTGAAACCTGTGAATTTTTCATTTTTTGCAAGGTTTTGACATTTTACTACATAAATATACAACAGGTGATGCGAAATTTAGTGAAATAAAATAATTTTTTTGAGTAAATTATAAGAAAATTTCAAGGTCATTTCTTAGGTAACGAGAAATCTCGTCCCCTCTAGGTAGTTAAGAGGCTAATCAAATAATTCTGATCTGATATAACAAGATCAGCATATAATTATTTTGATTTAGAATTGATTTGATAACATTACCAATAATTATGGACCACCCAAGGAGAAAATAACACAAGTTTCCCAAGCTGATCCACTTATACTCCTCGATACTTGATTTTTGTTTTTTGTTTTATACTCGTCAGGGGTAGTCAAATTAATATATCTACTTTTTTGTTATTTTTAAGGGGGAGTCAAAAGAACAGCATGTCTATTTTAAAACTCTTAGTGAGGCTACAGTGAACCTATTAGTACTTCTCACTACTGCCAATAACCCTGATGGTAAGTAAGTTATAGGAATATGACTTGTAATCCTAAATAAACCCAAGTTCATGTTTTCACTTGATATTGACAATTACAGGGTAACTTATCTTTCAGAGTGTGCACTGATATATATATAACTTTTATTGACATATAGTATCATAACATGATTACATTAGTCAGAACTATGGTAGACTACATATCTAAACTACAAAACACCAACTAAACTAAAAATACAAAAAATATATAAAAATATATAAGGTAACAATAATAGTGTGGTGCACACACAATGCATTATGACCATGCTAAATTCTTAAATGAATGGTAAATGAATTTGCCAATATGTCTTTGCAAGGTTACATTTTTACTAGAAATAAGATTGACAAATAAGTTTTCACTTTGTAAATCAAAGTTAGGTAAAATTTCACGGGCTTTTGTATATAATATTTGCCTATTCTCATCATTTTTTGTACAAGCTAAAAAGAAATGACATTCATCCTCTACATCTTTACAAATATTACATACTCTTTCCTCTAAAGGTTTTGGTTTTGGCTTTGTATGTCTTCCAGTCTCAATTGCTAACTGATGAGAACTCATTCTAAATCTACTTGTAGCCAATCTATACTTTTTATTATCTAGTTTCAAGTACAATTCTTTACCAAAATCATTTTTAAATAATTTGTACGTTCTCAATATAGGATAAGTGTTCAAATCATTTTTCCATTTTTCTACAAACAATATTTTTAATTTCTTTTCAACCATATTCACCAGATTTTCAGTATCCAGATTTTGATTATTCCAATAATCTAGTAAATCACATTTTCTGAGTACATCATAAACCTTGCTTGACCAACTTTTAAACCCTAACTCTTGATTACCCCTATCAAATAAGTATGCTTGATTTAATACATTACTCTCTGGAAAATTTTGAAATCTAAGCCAGTATTTTATAATGTAAGATTCAATTTTGATTGATAATGGGTATCTCCCTAGGTCACCATATACAGCTGGGCTTGCAGTTTGTGATTTAACACCTAATGTTGACTTAAAAAAAGACAAATGAATTGACTCAATTGCTTTCATTTGCTTTTTATCATACCATATTTCACATGCATAACATAAAATAGGACTAACTAACGCATTAAACAGATGAAGAGCCACATCCGGTGGTACATCATTAAACTTCTTATATTGTTGCTTTATCTTAAAAAGTGCCTTTTTTGATTGTTCTTTAAGGTACTTAGTGTTCAGATCAAAACTGTTATTTTTGGTGAGAATGAGACCTAAATATTTGTATTCTTTGACACATTCTATAGTTTGGTCATTAAATTCAAATTTGAATGATCTTTTAGAATTGAAGATAAGTGCTTTAGTTTTCATTGTGTTGACAATTAACCTGTTAGTCTTACAAAAAGAAAAAAGTGTGTCAAGCAATAGCTGCAATCCGTCACTGGATTCTGAGATCAATACGAGGTCATCCGCCCATAGAAGATGATTTAACCTTTTACCGTTTAAAATAACACCACAGTGTGCTGGTAATTGTAAAGTAAGATCATCGATGAAATGATTGAATAAGAAAGTACTAAGCACACTACCTTGCAAAACCCCTATATCAGTATCAAAATAATCTGTTACTCCATTCTTTAACTTTAGACAAGATTGAGATTTGGAATACATATTATCGATGATTTTATACATTTTGGTATGAGGACTTATGCCACTTTTACTGAGTTTGTATAGCAAAACTGATCGATCTATAAAGTCAAACGCCTTTTTGAAGTCAACCATACATGTAAACAAAGGTTTTTTAAACAGTTTAGATTTGTTAATTAATGTTTGTAGTAAAAATATGTTATCAATTGTACGGCTATTTTCCTTATATGCACCCTGTAGAGGATCTTGGATATTCTGTACCTGTGCGTTAAAAACAAGTCGATTTTGAATAATGGAGTCAAATACATTACCAATACAAGCTAATACATTTATACCTCTGTAGTTATCAGCTTTAAGTCTACTTCCTTGTTTAAAAAGCGGACTCAACATACCAATGCTCCAGTCCTGTGGATAATTTCCACTGTCAAATATTGCATTAAAAAGTGCCGTGAAATCTGGAATAAGAGCCTCACAATTACGAATTATGTTTGATGGGATGCCATCAATGCCGGCTGATTTATTAGAGTTTACTCTTTTAAAAGCATTATAAAACTCAATTTGACTAATTCTGTCATCTATGATATCATGGCAGAGATTTAAATTAGGGTCATTAGAATTAATTGGAATGTAGTCTTGAATATAGTCATTCATCTTTTGGAGTGCCTCGTTATCAAAATAATCTAAGTTTGGGGGCTTTGCCAGATTTTGAAAAAAAGCTAATAGGTCCTCAGGGGGAACTGGTATATCTTTAATTACATTTCCTGGCAATGCATTAATAAGTTTCCAAAAATCAGTTGAACATTTTGATCTATTTTCTACTAAGCTTTCTAGCATACCTGCTTTAAATTTTCTTTTTTCCCTCTGTTTAGTTTGATTATAGTGTTTAATAAGTTGATCGATATGACTATCATCAAGTTTATTTTTAATAGCACCGTGAACTTTTCTTTTAAGGATTTTACATTCATCTGTGAACCAAGAATTTATGGGAAATTTATTGTTTTTGTTTGATTTTAATTGTCTAAATTCAAATGTACCTTCACATGCATGATGTATAACACTTAAAAGTTTCCTTAATAGTTCATCTGATCCTACATTAGTACAGCCTAATTCTGTGTAAAAAGTGCTCAACAATTCATAACTAGTTTGATCGGTAAGTTTTTGTATAAACTCATTTTTCTTTGCAGGTTCCCATTTATATGACTTATATGTATTAATGTTCATATTCTTTCTTCGATCAGATCTACTACCTTCAAGACTTGTTTTTTGATCAGTCTTTTTCAGTGAAAGTGAAAAATGTAAAGGGGCATGATCAGATTCTACCCTTCTATCATGTACTTTAAAATCTGATAATAATGGAATTAACATTGGTTGAACTACTACATAATCAATAACAGATTTACCAATGTCAGGGTCTGACGCACAATTACGACTATAGTTTCGATAACAAGTAAATTTTCCAACTTCTTTGTCACTAAAAAGACGACCATTGAGAATTTTCATGTTTGTTGATTTGCAAAGAGATAAAAATTCTTATATTCTTATCCATAGAAGCTCGTATTCCGAAAAAATCATTAATTTTATCCCTAGTTTCTTGTGTAGACATGGCCTCATTATTGTTAAATATATCAATCGGTAAACTACCATTGCTACCAGGTATATCTATATTACTATCAGTAAGATTAGCTGTCCTGGCATTCATGTCACCACAAATTATTGTTCTACCCAAGGTTTGGTAATAAGCTATTGACATTTCTAATATGTCAACATTGTTTGATCCTGTAACAAATTCATATACAGAGCCTTTTAAAATAGATGGCGCTTAGCTTTATCCAAACAAAAAAGTCATGGGATTGTGGTAATATATCAATACCACCTGAACTATATTCCTTACTGATAAATACTGCAAGCCCACCTGAATAGTGACCATTACTTGTACTAATATTAGAATTACGAGCAAGATTGTAACAGGTATAACCTTCAAATAACAGTTGTAAAAAAAATGTGTATTTGTTCAAGTATTTCAGTTTCTTAGCTTATATTTTGACATTTGTAACATGTATTTGATAAGTTGATTGATTAAGTTAATGTCAATAAAAGAAATATATCATATCGTCATAGGAACCAAATTAAGACAGTAACATTATATTGATGTAAGAGTTTCATGTATTTTCAGTGATGATGCCAGCATACTCAGAAAACAGATTTTACGCCATCTATTTTATAGTATTCTTAGTCATAGGTAAGGCCCTTTTATGTACTACAGGTTATCAGTATGTATAATACAGTGCATGTGTATAAATATGCAAGATATGAAATGTTTACTATTATCTCATTCTCTTGTAACTCACAGGCTTTGTGACAAAATATATACGTACATATTTCTCTTAATGTCTACTCTTTATCGAACTTTAGAACGAGGCATGTTTTTGTTTGATGTCATATGCAATATATATGAGGCAACAGAGAAAGATACATGACAGTGAATAATAAAACTATTCTTTATTACTTTTCATTTTCGTGCAGACATGTACATGTGTCACTAATAATTTATATCTAAAAGACATAATTGATTCAGGGGGAAGGAACCTACACTTTTCTTAAAAGCTAAAAGCATTGAAAAAATGGAGATATTACTTCACTTATTTTGTCAATATTCATTAGCTTAATGAATATGGATACGAGAGAGGTGCCCATATTTTTCTTAGAAATCCATTTTCATTAATACAGGTATTTTCACAAAGTCTGCCCTGGCTTGTCACTGTATGTTGATATCATATTTGATTGTAGGTCTGTACTGCTTTATGAACATGCTCACTGCTGTCATCTATAACCAATTCAGAGGATATTTCCTGGTAAGTAACAACATTGCAAGAACATGTATTGAATGCAGGGACTTTGGAACTGGCATATCTTCATTTTACTCATATAATATTGATCTTCCCAGCATTCAAATTAATTACATAACCCCAAGTTAGAAACCTGTTTGCACCTACCCTGTCTTAGCTTAACACAGATATGGCTAGTTTATCTGGATTCAGGGTAATTTTATGTGTGTATGTTTCTCTTCTAGAACTCAATGCAGTCTAGTTTGTTCCGTCGTCGTCTTGCTGTGCGGGCGACATTTGAGGTGATACGTCGTAGGAAGATCACAGACACACAGAGTGCACATTTTAACGTCATGAGGTAAATTAAACTTCTTTTTTTATTTAAAATTAAAATCAATGTAACATTATAGAGGTTATAGGGGCTTTGACCCCCAGGAGAGAGTATTAGGTGCCACATAATGGTACTTACAAAGATTCATAATGTATTAAAGGTCTCCTTAAAGGTAAAATCAAAATGTTTTTGTGAATTAATGAAGGATTATACACTACCCCCTCTTATTAAAGCTAATTTAAGGTATTGGACATTGAAATACACAAGTGTTACATGATCACCTATTTACACTTTTTCTAGTTTTAAGAATGTTGGCATTTTTATCCTTCTCTCATATGAAATCACTTTTATGTTAATATATGTCTCATTCCTAGTAATATGAACATGGAATTTCGACAAACATTCGGCATAATATCCATATCCATCCAAAAATATTTCTATGGCAAAATACATCAGGTGAAAAACATATCGCTCTAGAACATACACATAGTATTACAATAATATTTTTCAGTTATGAAAAGATGATATTTATGAGAATTAGATAGCATTGTGTGTTTTTATGTCACCCCAAGTGATGTCACATATTGTCATAGTCTCCAATATTTTTGTAGATGATATTCAGCAGTTGGTGTTTGGTGGTTGGAATTCGTTGTTCATTGTCTGTAACAAATGGCAGGTGGTGAAATTTTGCATGTTAATGCCATGTCTCTATGATATAGTTGCTATGGTATTTTGTGATTTCAGTGAAGGTGTGCCAGTAGATGTTCTGTTTCCTGTTATAAAAAATGTCAAGATGAGACCCCAAGTGCAAAAGGCAATACTCATGGTAAGCACATAGTGCATTACTTGATAAGTACAAAATGGAATATTCATGGCAATAACAAAATACATAACATGATACATACAAAGTGCATTACTTGATTAGAACAAAGTGCAATACTTGTGATAAGCCCAAAGTGCATTAAATGATGTACATGTTATATTCATTGCAATAACAAAATACATTACATGATACATACAAAGTGCATTGTATGTGATACTTATAAGGGCATTGCATGATACATAAAAAGAGTATTGCATGATACATACTAATTGCATTGTATGATACATTCAAATTGCATTGCATGATACATTCAAATTGCATTGCATGATACATACAAATTGTATTGCATGATACAAACAAATTGCATTGTATGATACATTCAAATTGCATTGCATGATACATAGAAAAAAATTTGCTGGGAATATACACTTTTTTTAAGTGTCACCCACTCATGCTTTGTATATTTGTGTGAAATTTAAAAAGGAAATAAACATAAACATAAAAAAAAAAAAATTGAATTGTATGATACATTCAAATTGCATTGCATGATACATTCAAATTGCATTGCATGATACATACAAATTGTATTGCATGAAACATTCAAATTCCATTGCGTGGTACATTCAAATTGCATTGCATGATACATACAAATTGCATTGCATAATACATACAAATTGCATTGCATGATACATACAAATTGCATTGCATGATACATTCCAATTGGATTGCATGATACATACAAAGTGCATTGCATGACAAGTACAAAGTGCATTATTCATGACAATAGACAAAATACATTACATGATGCTTACAAAGTGCAAATTCTTCCAACTTCCAACAACCATTTGCAGGTGGTGACATTTTGTCATGTTAACGCCTTGTTAGAATTTAAAAGGCGTTGTTTTTGTTGCATTTCTGAGGCATAAATATTTAAATCATGGTTTACAATATACATGTTAACTTCAGAGTATTGCACATAGTTAGTGAAAAGAGAGAGAGGAATACTTCAAGGTATATTTTGTATTTTTTATTGTTTTTAAAAACTAAGTCACATGTCCAAAACCATTATTTTGTAATACTAAATTCATATTAACTCGATAATTTTCTTAATTCAATACATTTACATTTCAGGATCTTGGCACAAGGCGTGGAATACTTGATGCAGATCAATTTAAAGAAGTATTTGACCACTTAGAAAATCCAGAACTTCAGCGCAGCAATGTAAGTGCATGAATCCTTAATTCATAATTATCCCAACAATATTTTTGGGATGAAGCATGGGCTTTCTCATCTTCGCACGCTCGGTCTTCACTGTGACCGACGGGAGCCGAGTGAACAAAGGTGGGTTTTCTTAAGATTAAAGATTAACTTTCATTCACCCATTTTTGGACAACTATTGGGATCGTATAATATATGGGGGATATCCTTTAACAATGGTCCCATTGAAGAACCCATAGACACCTTCTTTACTGTTACGCAAATGAGCTCCATATTCTCCAAAATTACTTCGACTTATCATTAAAACATCACAGTATGTCTGTATATGAAAGTCTAATGATACTTTCTGCATGCCTTGACATGCCTGACTCCTATTAGGGGTCCTATCTACATGTGTTATTATTCCCTCTGTGTCTACAATAGTATTGGGGAAGAGCCTCTTGGCAGTTTGACGCACATCCTCTGAATCAGTAGTGATGAATATTCTGTGTTGGTCAGAGTTGTTAAACTGAGACAGAAATTCCCAGACTACTGAAAGAAATTCTAGTTTATTTCGTGGAGGTCCAACATCATGTGGAATTGATGGGTTTACACCCATTCGGATCTGTGCACATATTAGCAAAGTGTTGAATCTGGTTTTTGCATTTACTATAAAATTGTTCAGCCTTTTCTGAATACTATCCTGAAGTTTGAATAGCAGTGAATGTAATTTAGGGAATACATTATCCATTTTAAGTTCAGAGGTGTTAAATCCTAATTGGGTCAGACGTTTTTCATATATCGGATTCTGAAACCCTTCTATCCAATCTTGATTCACTCGAAATGAAATAATATCATATGGATATCTGCCATCAATATGTGTGCTAGGATTTTTGATTTTATTGGGCATAAATTTATGATTGTCTATGAGTGTTATATGTTTTGTAGTCAGCCCATTTGGCAAATCACTTGCCCAGTTAACCAGATTTGGCTTGTAAACTGTTGTCAAAGCACATGGAAAGTTCTGCTGGATTACATACTTCCTGTTTGTCATCAAGGCCCACATGAATGAGCTTGCTATACCAGCCATTCTGTCACCCCAGCCACCACAAACTTTTTGACAATCATAACAAATGTATTTCGCATCTGATCGTTTCCAGATCTTCTTGACTTGCTCTGCTGCCAGAGAAATATCAACCCCTATAGGAAACCGGGAGGACTCTATGTGCCAAATATCCTTCTTGTTTTTATTGTCCACTCCTTTGTGGGCATCACTAGATTGAATCTTTACCATTGTTCTATTTTGTTGTTTAATTAAAACATTAAATTTAGGTCTCCATGCAAAGAAAACAATAAATGTAGCACAAGAGCATGTAATGAAGATTTTTAATGAATTCGTCATTATAAGCACCCTTTGCATTCGTTTGACTTCGCTTATTAAAAGAGAGCTTCGTGTAGTTTAACTAGACTCTGCACGCAGGGTACATTATAAGATGTTAAGAAGTGAATGTATGAATGTATCAGTTCTCTGATGTAATAACTAGTTTTTCAAAACAGTATTCATTACATCAGAAAATTGCGGCAATTTAAATCAATTGTCACTTTTATCTGATTCATAATTCAAATAACTCAGAAATATTGATCCAATTATGATTTTCCCAGTGGTTGAATGTTAATTGCTCAATTAATCACTTGCTTGTTTTTGTTTATGTTTACACTTATTTATTGAAGTATCAGCATGATAAGCTTAAAGTGTGCGCCTGACCCGGCTACGTATAGCACAGAGTTTATACTGGCGGATTAGACTAGTTCATTTTTTATATGTGTGTGAAAGCTTTCTCTTATTTGCGTTTTTTCGTTTAGTACGGTTTTGTTATAATTGCCGAGGTCATATAACCGGGATAAAACAATGATTATCGTTGACTGCCCACACACAAAACATACGTTGAGTGAACAGTGTTATTACAAACAACAGGCTTTAGAATACAAAGCGTAGCGTGATAATAAGCTGTACACTACCACTGCTGCATGTACATATTACTAATTTACTAGGGCTCCCAAAGAGTGGATAGGGAGGTTGTGTTTGTCACTTTTAAATTTTACATTTCAAAATTGTCATTTTACATGTCATAATTTGTTGGTTTCATTCGTTTAGCCAATCAAAACATTGTAAAACAATAAATTGTCTGTTACGTACAATCAATTTTGTTCAGTTTTGATTAGTTGTCAGAATAAAGTTACGTTCATCTGAATCCATGTATCAAAACAAAAATCCTATTTTCACTTCAAAATACTTCAGTGAGATGAAGGCTCGGAATTGTCGCATGCAATAACTTATTGTCGTATTCGTTATTTTATCTTCTCGATAGTAGCATTTAGTCGCACATTTGATGCCAGGTCACCTTGTCGCGTACCTCAGGGGGAACCCCACATTTATGTGTGTACTCATGGAAGTAAATTCCCCGGTGTAGCTGAGAGCCACAAACTTTTCAACAGGTTCGAAATGACCAATTTCTCTCATATATACTCTAAATATTTTATTATTTAGCACCTACAAAGTATTGCTAATAACCATATGTAATTTCAATAAGGAAACTTATCTGGCTACATATAAATTCAATATCAACACTAGCTGTTCTCTCAACACGTCCTGGCTTACCTTGTGGTGACAAACCCTGGATTTTCGCTATTTATAGTTTATCAACACCTGGATGCATGCGCATTTTATAGTTTATCGGGCACTTTAAATTATTGATGCAAAGTTTGAAATTTTATTTTTATTTTTTATGACTTAAAAGAAAAGGTTATATGAGACATTATTCTTAAAACAGTCCCCCTAGAATTCCATTTCCGCAGAACGCGGACAGAATTGGCCTTCAGGCACAGATTGTAGAATTATAAATTTTAATAAATTCCCTCAAAATTTCCCGCACAACTTGCAGAATTTCCCGCACAATTGACATACATTGTATTTTCAGAAGGTATGAATAATTAGTCTTGCCTCCATAATTTAATACATTTTACAGTCTTTCTCGAAGTAGAGATCACTTGCAAATAAACCAAAATATGCAAAATAAAGGAGGAGGAAAAGTATCGCAACAGATTTCGGACAGTCATATGTTGGATTTTGGCTATTTTCTGAGGATTTGAACAGGTGCATATGTTAGACCAAACTGACCAATGCATTCCGTCCAGGTAGGAAAGCACTCCTAGAGATGATAAAATAATTTCGACTTTGAGACAGGGAAGATGCAAACAACCCACCCACATGTTTTCTGAAATGTTTTTATGATTTTCAACCCCTCCCACCCCTGCTTTTTCAATTTTTGTGGCATCAATATGTTGCGTTTTGACACACAGTAGACCCCTTTAAAGGAATAAGTGATTCCTTCGAGGGTTTTAAAGATATCCATTATGGGTGACCATTAAAAGCTGAAAGCAATGGATCGCATGAGTTTTCCCTATGGGAAAATAACATGGGAAATATTTCTTCCCTGTCTCAAAGTCGAGATTATTTTATCATCTCTAGGAGATCTGAAACGCTATTGAAAGCATGTAAGTTATATAACAGCAAACATTGCAAGTGTTTGGGGATTAAAACTTTTTAACCCGAATGTAATGCTGTAAGGCCAAAATATAATTATTGGGTTAACATTTTCAGTTATAGATATAAGGTTTAAGAAATGCATTTCAATCAATTCCTTGTATCTGTAATGTTATAATATTGCTGTGCTCTTTCCACAAGAATTTCTTTTTGTGAAGTTTAATAAATTAAAAATATTTATTTGGCTATTGGAATGTATGCGAATGTGAAACTAATGTATATTTCTACTTTGGTTCAGTCTTCGTAGTAGTTTGCAACAACAACTTTTCGATTTAGCGCCATAATAACTTGGCACACAGTACATTGAAACTGTCATGGTCAGGTGACCTCAAAAAGTGCTCAAAAATAACAACATTTCAGAGGTTGACAGTCTTATCTTAATAAATCGTGTTGTGTGGGGAAATATCACAAGCTTTGTAACAAAATGGATGTTATTTGTGCTAAATACAAGATAAAAAGAGATTCTGAAATCTGTTTTAGTACAACTTTAACACCATTGCTTTGCAATTTTGTTGAGAAGTCCTTTTGAAGTGACATCATAGCAAAATCCATACTTGTAATTTTCAATGTCTGATAAACGAATACCATAATCGATTTGGTGTTTTAATCGATAAAAATGGATTTCTTACTTATTTCTTTATCTTGTTATTAGATGACAAGTTATGATATTGGTTAACTCGCTAGAAATTAACATAGTATTATTTGAAGCATTTTAGAAAATTTTGACACAAGGCTTGTCTACAGGTTTCCAGCCAAACCATTTGAGGGATTCATTTGAAATTCTCAGGGATGTTTCTACCTATAAAAGTTTAGAATTGATTAGTTTTTCAGCATTCTTGGTAAATGTTAATGCGGCCATTTTGGATTTTCTGTCCTTAAATCGTGTCTGTGAAGGCTTGTCTACAGGTTTCCAGCCAAACCGTTTGAGGGATTCATTTGAAATTCCCAGGGATGTTTCTACCTATAAAAGTTTAGAATTGATTAGTTTTTCAGCATTCTTGGTAAATGTTAATGCGGCCATTTTGGATTTTCTGTCCTTAAATCGTGTCTGTGAAGGCTTGTCTACAGGTTTCCAGCCAAACCGTTTGAGGGATTCATTTGAAATTCTCAGGGATGTTTCTACCTATAAAAGTTTAGAACTGATTAGTTTTTCAGCATTCTTGGTAAATGTTAATGCGGCCATTTTGGATTTTCTGTCCTTAAATCGTGTCTGTGAAGGCTTGTCTAAAGGTTTCAAACCGTTTGAGGGATTCATTTGAAATTTTCAGGGATGTTTCTACCTATGAAAGTTTATAACTCAATAGTTTTTTGGTATTCTGGGTAAATGTTAAGGTGGCCATTTTGGATTTTCCGTCCTAAAATCTTGTCTGATAAATGTTAAGGTGGCTATTTTGGATTTTCCGTCCTAAAATCTTGTCTGTCGAGGCTTGTCTACAGTTTCCAGCCAAACCGTTTGAAACTGATTCGTTTTTCGGCATTCTGGGTAAAATTTAAGGCGGCCATTTTGGATTTTACATCCTAAATCATGTCTGTCAAGGCTTGTCTAAAGGTTTCCAGCCAAACCGTTTGACGGATGCATTTGAAATTCAGGGATGTTTCTTATATTATAGTCCTCCCTAAACCATCATTCTGCAGAAATAGTCTTGCTACTTGTAGAGATTGTTTAGTGAACATTCAAGGCTATATCTCATTTATGACAAGATCATGTGCAAATCTTCCAGCAGCTACAAAGTATCTACAACCTCTATTTTGCATTTGGACGCCATTTATACATCAATATACTTAAGATTCCCATATCCCTGATCCAAGCATATGTTGAAATCCCCCTACCAGTTATCCCTGAAGTGTGCAAAATTAGTACAATTTTCTACACCATTACTATAATATTGACAAACTTTCGTGAATTAACACTTTATCTTCTGTTCAAGGGAGCGATATTGTTCACTGTGTGTTTTATTAATCATGTGATCGGGTCTTATCCAATGAGAAAGCGAGAAACATTTCAATGATATAATAAATCTTTTTATGCATGGCGCGCGCGATCTCTCCAACATATGGGTCACTTATGTGGTGGATTAGGTTGAGTTGACTTGGGGTCGAGATGACCTGTACCTGATTTTATTTGTGTACTGGCTTGGAAATAATCTTTGAAATTAAATTTCATATCATTTAGATGTGTGGTGAATAATAATCAATCAAATACCATAATATGTTGAATTAATCTGCTACATGCTTTTAGTTTTATGTTCATGTAGTCACGTTAATACATCAAAACAATATTTTCAATAGGAAATCACTTGATATTTCAGCTGGCTCCAAAAATCTAACAGGAATAGAATAAACGCTATGAAACTGACATCATATTCATTTGTAGACCTGACATAATAATCAGATCTGAACATCAGGACAGAAGGTTCAAAACTGTAGAATGACAGCATGGATAATTTATGGATAGTTTGCATGTTAGTACTTTATGTGCATGTATATTGAAATATGAAAAGTAAGATTGCCTCACTATTTATACGACCCTGTGTTCTCAATATCATCAGATATCAGAATAATATGAAATTCTTCAGGTTGGGTCTTAGAAATATCAACAAAATAGTCTTTGTTCTACAGATGTCGTCTATTTGCATTTTAGGATTTCTTGTTGCCATTTGGTTACATTGGGAGAGACTGTTCCATTCAGAGCCTTCATGGAAAAGAGGGCGGATTGATAACCAAATAAGGGAAATGATTGACATGAAGAACTATGATTACAGCAAAGTTTTAGGAGAACATCTTGACATTGGGGATACCCTTGAAAGTGACATGGGTGATGTCAAGAGAGGCAATGATGAAGAATACACCAGAGATGACTTTGGTGGTAACTTAAAGGATGACACTAGAAATGACACTAGAGAAAATGCCAGAGATTCTAGTCCCAGAGATAACAAAGAAGCTGAATGGAGACCAGAAAACAGGAACTCATATAAAAACAGTTTTGAACAAACTAGAAATGACTCGCATGTAATACACAAAGTTAATGTTACCAATGATAAAGAACACATTGATCATTATTTAAAAAACAATACAACATTTGATAGAGCAATTCCTCAAGGAAAGAGAACATTTTTAGAATCACAGGACATGCTTGATTATATTGACCAAGTGCCATATACAAGGATTAGTCTTAATCTTGACTTAGTCAAGTGTAAAGTTAAACTACACTTGGTAGTTTCTTTTCCCCTATTGGTTTTCTTAAACGGCACAATAAATCCAGCTTTCAAGAGGTTTCTACCAAAATTCACAATGAACGATTTAATTATTCGTCAGTGGGAGTATTTGGATACTCTAAAAACGAACCTCCAGCACCCCTGCGTAACATCAATTCACATTCTGTCCCATTCGACCCTAGAGGATGTGATACTCCATCAGAATATAGTAACTATCAATCAGACACTTTTGAAGAAGGTACATTATGCTACGCTGTATGGGAGAGCAACTATGGGTCAAGTATGGGAATATACTTCAGTGAGTCTCCTTGGGAAACATGTTGTAGTTTTAAACGCTGATATTATCCTCGGGGAAGGATTTGAGAAAATTAATCCTGATTATTTAAACATAACAAACGTTTTATATGTACTGTCCAGACACAAGAGTCCAAAAATGGACATTAAAGGATCTGGGTGTAATGACGTGATACATGGTGTTGCCAAGGACTTTTGTGACACGTACATTCGGTCACATGATGCCTATGTAATATACATGAACAAGGTGTTTTCTGAAAAGAATTTGAAGTATCTTCATTACCCACTTAACTACTTGGGAGCTGAGAATAAACTGATTGGCTTTTGGAAGAGAGAGTACGATTATAAACTCTTAAATCCTTGTAAGGTGTTAAAAATATACCACAACCATTGCTCGAATCTTCACTTTGATAAACGTGTAAGAATAAAACCAAGTGATAGCAATAACTTTTACAAGATATATGTGAAGCCTACTTCTAGTTTGGTTGTGTGAATTATACGCTGTACATATTTTCTGTAAAATGAAGAATAAAAGACCATGTTACAATTCCTAATTTGTATAATGATAAAATATACACAAATACCAAGACTTTGAGCATCTGTTTCTCTGTATCTACAGTTCAAGACTATATTGAACATCCAAAATCATAGATCAAATGTGATATAGTTTAAACTGCTAATGTACTATTCTTGTTGATTTCTACAATGCTTTTGATGTGATGATAGTGCTTTTTCACCTTTCGAACTTTTATGTCAACAGAAGAAGTGATGGTGACATATTGTTATGTATTACATACCTAGCGAAGCATTTGTATGGAAGTCAATGGGAAAGTTAGCGAGCTATATTCACCGATATTGCCCGATTACCCAGATATAGCCCGCTTACCTCGTTTTGATATTAGATTTCTTTAATAACCATGATAATATCATGACGTCACGTCATTGATACAAAGTAACCATGGGAACAAAGGCATGTAATACATCAGTTATGTCACTATGACGTGAAATATGCCTTCGTTCTTGCCCAAATATAGAGCCTCCCAAGGTCGGCCTATATTGGGAGAACTCAGGCATATTTCACGTCATAGTGACATAACCTCTAAATATCCAACTCTTTTCTGGATGGTGTTCAGCGGCTGGTGTTCAACAATTGGTGTTTGGCGTCTGTAACAAATGTAACAAATAGCAGGTGGTGACATTTTGCATGTTAATGCCTCATTTTTTGTGAGGCCAGATGATAGCACAATGTTGTAGCTACAATAACATTTAACACTACATCTCATTGTCTCCTGTGGGAGACACCTCAAAGGGAGAAACTATAGGATTTTAGATAGATCCAGTAAAACATGTCTAAGTGGAACACCTTTGGTACCTCTAAAAAGTGTTCTAATTGGGAGGTGTTCTACTGATAGAGGTTCATTAAACATTACCTCTTTTGGTCTACAGACTCTTAAAAGTGTTCCACTAATAGAGGTGTTCCATTTTACAGGTTTCACTGTATATTCCTTGTGGGTCAGTGATCTCCCCAGCATTAAAGCAAGTGGGCACAGCACCCACCTGAGATTTAAAAAACATTCTTGCACCCACCTGAGATTTCATTTGCACCCACTTGAAAATGAGAAAAATCATGTAAAATGGGCATATTTTGAACAATTTTGAACTTAATTGTGAAAATGAAAATTTTGCACCCACTTGAAAAAAATCCTGGGGAGAACATTTTGGATTTTTATACACTAAATAGCCTTTGTGTTTTTCATTGCCTCATATACATCACTTGTGTATTTCCAGAGACCTGAGATGAAATGGTGTGAGCAGTTGTACTTACGACGTCTTCAGCGCATGATATCACACAAATACTTCAACTATTTCGGGAATCTTGTTGCTTTTGCAAATGTAGTTGTTATCACAGTAAGTTGTTCACTGTGTTGAGCTCCATCTATTGATGTACATGTCAATGTCCCAGTTCTTTCAGACATTATCCAGAAGCTACTTTTGGCTCGTACATGTAATTGCTAAATAATTATTGTCATCAATCTGGCAAATACAGTATCACATCATAAGACTCTCAAAGAGGGATTTATCATATGCCCTGTATGTGTTTTATGGAGATTCATTTGTAAGATATATCCTGTATCCTGATTTTAGGGTTTCCATATCCAGAACCTTCATATATATATATATCTCATTCCTGGGCATATCTTCCCACTTCCTGCAATTGAAAAAAAAATTGAAAAGATTTGAATCAACAATTTGAATCTTTTTTAAATAAAACTCTACTGGGAATATGATGTTATGTGCAGTCCTTGGTCCATACAGTCCCTCAGATAGATATGCATATCTCTCTCTGGATAAACCCCATATCCAAAACCTCCAAGCACATAACCCTTATCTATTTGTGATGATGTAAAAATATTAGACAAATTATTGAACACAATATAGAACTATTTTTGTTAAATACCTGTGCACTATATTAATGTCTTGTAGGTTGAAGTTGACATTGAATACAAAGATCTTCTAGCATCTCGTGAGACAGGGCTTTCAGTAAGTATACTCTTTCCTTGCTTGTTATTGACATTGATATTGAAATCGGCAATATTTATCACTCACAGCATTTCTTGTCAGGTTGATTTTCTAAAAAAGAAAAATTCTAAGAATTCTGACTTTATTTTCTGAAAATGCTTCTAAAAGGGAGATACCTTTCTTCCTTTAAATTATTGGATTTGGATATTTCTACAGCTGTTTTCATGTTTGATTTGGTATTATGGGCCACATTGACATTTAGAACCAATAATTATAAACTTATGCTAGGTGGTGCTTTTAAGCCAGTGAGATATAACCAGAGTAAATTGCATAAGTAAAAGGTGCTTCACGATCGGCTGACACACAATCAGTTGGTTATTAATTGTGTTTCTAAAACAACTAAAAGTCGAAGTATATTCTTTGAGAGTGTAACTTAATTCATTACAACCCATTGTTCATACAAGCGTATGTTTTCAGATTGCTAACCTCTGTTTTGTGGTGTATTATGCCATAGAACAATGCTTCAAGATATGGGCATTAGGATGGAAGCTGTATATGTTATAACCCATTGTTCTTATATTACAGATTGCCAACCTCTGTTTTGTGGTGTATTATGCCATAGAACAATGCTTCAAGATATGGGCATTAGGATGGAAGCTGTATATGTTATAACCCATTGTTCTTATATTACAGATTGCCAACCTCTGTTTTGTGGTGTATTATGCAATAGAACAATGCTTCAAGATATGGGCATTAGGATGGAAGCTGTATATATTATAACCCATTGTTCTTATATTACAGATTGCCAACCTCTGTTTTGTGGTGTATTATGCCATAGAACAATGCTTCAAGATATGGGCATTAGGATGGAAGCTGTATATGTTATAACCCATTGTTCTTATATTACAGATTGCCAACCTCTGTTTTGTGGTGTATTATGCTGTAGAACAATGCTTCAAGATATGGGCATTAGGATGGAAGCTGTATATATTATAACCCATTGTTCTTATATTACAGATTGCCAACCTCTGTTTTGTGGTGTATTATGCCATAGAACAATGCTTCAAGATATGGGCATTAGGATGGAAGCTGTATATATTATAACCCATTGTTCTTATATTACAGATTGCCAACCCCTGTTTTGTGGTGTATTATGCCATAGAACAATGCTTCAAGATATGGGCATTAGGATGGAAGCTGTATATATTATAACCCATTGTTCTTATATTACAGATTGCCAACCTCTGTTTTGTGGTGTATTATGCCATAGAACAATGCTTCAAGATATGGGCATTAGGATGGAAGCTGTATATATTATAACCCATTGTTCTTATATTACAGATTGCCAACCTCTGTTTTGTGGTGTATTATGCTGTAGAACAATGCTTCAAGATATGGGCATTAGGATGGAAGCTGTATATATTATAACCCATTGTTCTTATATTACAGATTGCCAACCTCTGTTTTGTGGTGTATTATGCCATAGAACAATGCTTCAAGATATGGGCATTAGGGTGGAAGCTGTATATATTATAACCCATTGTTCTTATATTACAGATTGCCAACCTCTGTTTTGTGGTGTATTATGCCATAGAACAATGCTTCAAGATATGGGCATTAGGATGGAAGCTGTATATATTATAACCCATTGTTCTTATATTACAGATTGCCAACCTCTGTTTTGTGGTGTATTATGCCATAGAACAATGCTTCAAGATATGGGCATTAGGATGGAAGCTGTATATATTATAACCCATTGTTCTTATTATGTCACCACCAAAGGTGGTGACATATTGTTATGGTCTCTGTTTTTTATGTCACCACCAAAAGTGGTGACATATTGTTATGGTGTCCGTTTTTTTGCGACGGCGGTTGGCGTCCGGCGGTTGGAGGTTGGCGTCCGGCGTCTGTAACAATTTCTTACAACTTCCTATAACTTAACAAATACTGTTTAGACTGACTTCAATTTTTTTCTAAATCATCTACATGTTCTCAGAAGTTCAAATCTGACTTTACATTTGACATTTGACCTTCAATGACCTTCTAAAGGTCAAAAAGGTCTTTTTTCAACTTGCTTCACATTGACTAAATTTTTTTTCAAAATCATCTACATGTTCTCAGAAATTCAAATCTGACTTTAGATTTGACTTTAGATTTGACATTTGACCTTCAAATCTGACTTTAGATTTGACATTTGACCTTCAATGACCTTCTCAAGGTCAAAAAAGGTCAAAAAGGTCTGTTTTCAACTTGCTTCAAATTGACTAAATTTTTTTTTCAAAATCATCTACATGTTCTCAGAAATTCAAATCTGACTTTAGATTTGACTTAAGATTTTACATTTGACCTTCAATGACCTTCTCAAGGTCAAAAAAGGTCAAAAAGGTCTTTTTTCAACTTGCTTCAAATTGACTAATTTTTTTTTTCAAAATCATCTACATGTTCTCAGAAATTCAAATCTGACTCTAGATTTGACATTTGACCTTCAATGACCTTCTCAAGGTCAAAAAAGGTCAAAAAGGTCTGTTTTCAACTTGCTTCAAATTGACTAAGAAATTTTTTCAAAATCATCTACGTGTTCTCAGAAATTCAAATCTGACTTTAGATTTGACTTTAGATTTGACATTTGACCTTCAATGACCTTCTCAAAGTCAAAAAAGGTCAAAAAGGTCTTTTTTCAACTTGCTTCAAATTGACTAAATTTTTTTTTCAAAATCATTTACATGTTCTCAGATATTCAAATCTGACTTTAGATTTGACATTTGACCTTCAATGACCTTCTCAATGTCAAAAAAGGTCAAAAAGGTCTTTTTTCATCTTGCTTCAAATTGACTAAATTTTTTTTTCAAAATCATCTACATGTTCTCAGAAATTCAAATATGACTTTAGATTTGACTTTAGATTTGACATTTGACCTTCAATGACCTTCTCAAGGTCAAAAAAGGTCAAAAAGGTCTTTTTCAACTTGCTTCAAATTGACTAATTTTTTTTTCAAAATCATCTACATGTTCTCAGAAATTCAAATCTGACTTTAGATTTGACATTTGACCTTTAATGACCTTCTCAACGTCAAAAAAGGTCAAAAAGGTCTGTTTTCAACTTGCTTCAAATTGACCAAATTTTTTTTTCAAAATCATCTACATCTCTTCAGAGGTTCAAGTTTGACTTTTTACAAGTTCTCAGAAGTTCAAATCTGACTTTAGATTTGACCTTTGACCTTCTCAAGGTCAAAAAGGTCTTTTTTCAACTTGCTTCAAATTGACTAATTTTTTTTTTTTTCAAAATCATCTACATGTTCTCAGAAGTTCAAATCTGACTTTAGATTTGACATTTGACCTTCAATGACCTTTTCAAGGTCAAAAAGGTCTTTTTTCAACTTGCTTCAAATTTACTTAATTTTTTTTTCAAAATCATCTACATGTTCTCAGAAGTTCAAGTCTGACTTTACATTTGACATTTGACCTTCAATGACCTTCTCAATGTCAAAAAAAGTCAAAGAGGTATTTTTTCAACTTGCTTCAAATTGACGAATTTTTTTTTCAAAATCATCTACATGTTCTAAGAAGTTCAAATCAAACCTTCTTAAGGTCAAAAGGTATTTTCCAACTTGCTTTAAATTGACCAAATTGTTTTAGGTGGTGACATTTTGTCATGTTAATGCCTTGTATTACAGATTGCCAACCTCTGTTTTGTGGTGTATTATGCCATTGAGCAATGTTTCAAGATATGGGCATTAGGATGGAAGCTGTATATATTATAACCCATTGTTCTTATATTACAGATTGCCAACCCCTGTTTTGTGGTGTATTATGCCATAGAACAATGCTTCAAGATATGGGCATTAGGATGGAAACTGTATATGTTATAACCCATTGTTCTTATATTACAGATTGCCAACCTCTGTTTTGTGGTGTATTATGCCATAGAACAATGCTTCAAGATATGGGCATTAGAATGGAAGCTGTATATGTTATAACCCATTGTTCTTATATTACAGATTGCCAACCTCTGTTTTGTGGTGTATTATGCCATAGAACAATGCTTCAAGATATGGGCATTAGGATGGAAGCTGTATATGTTATAACCCATTGTTCTTATATTACAGATTGCCAACCTCTGTTTTGTGGTGTATTATGCCATAGAGCAATGCTTCAAGATATGGGCATTAGGATGGAAGCTGTATATGTTATAACCCATTGTTCTTATATTACAGATTGCCAACCTCTGTTTTGTGGTGTATTATGCCATAGAGCAATGCTTCAAGATATGGGCATTAGGATGGAAGCTGTATATGTTATAACCCATTGTTCTTATATTACAGATTGCCAACCTCTGTTTTGTGGTGTATTATGCCATAGAACAATGCTTCAAGATATGGGCATTAGGGTGGAAGCTGTATATGTGGAAACGTACCAATGTATTTGATGGGTTTATCACTATTATACTTGTGGTATGTACATGTACTATTTTCGCAATCCATTAAGATTTAAAGGTACATTCCTTGTAAGCCTATTTCCCTATTGATATGATGGCTGTAACCCTTGAATTTTTCTTGACTTGAAATAAATACTTACATTTTTAAATGATCAAATTTGACCATACTCAAACCCTTTCTCATATTTTTCAGAGTATGAATAGTAGATTATCAGTTATAACAACAATATCAAGACAGCAATGGGCTTGCAAGGAATATTCCTTTAAATAGTAGTTCATTTCGTGGACAGCCAATTTCAATTTCACTTTATCATAATGCTGGTCAGACAGAGATGTCATGTGTCATGGTCAGAAAATAGAATGATTTCAAGGTCAGACAAAGATGTCACCATCAGATATTAATGTCACACAGTGCTTAAATACATTGATGTTTCTAGGTCAGTTGCAAGTACCTCTCTTCTGTGGTTAGTAGTATGTTGAAAGCCCATGGTAGTATTGTACATTAAAAATTATGTTAAATATTTTGTTTTAGGTGACTCAGGTCTTCTTCCTGGCATTCTATGGTATTCCTTTTCGAAATGAGTAAGTATATTTCAGATAGAATATATTCAGCTATAGTAAAATATTGATTGTATCATACGTCTGCATTTGTAGAAAAATATGTGTTTTCAAACAAACAAACAAGATGACAAATATAGCAAAAGTCGTACCTCTGAGTTACTTCCTGTCCTCACCAAAAGTGGTGACATATTGTAATGATGTCCAACTTTTTTGAGGATGGTGGTTGGTGTTCAGTGTTCGGAGTTCAGTGTCTGTAACAAATGACAGGTGGTGACATTTTGCATGTTAATGCCTTGTAAAATTTGATTTTAGATCTGGAGTACAATTTGTAACATCACTGTCACTCTGGGATGCTGTCAGGTTGATAAACATACTCATAATGGTCAGGTTACTCAGAGTGATCCCACATATAAAGACAATGTCCTTAGTAGCTAGCACCCTTGGTGATATGGTACGCAATATGCAGGCATTTGCAGGCATTATGGTGGTAAGTTAAATATTTCCATATACAGTAAAAACTCTCCAGTAGATTTATGGGGGAAATACTTCCATTAGTGGGACCCTTTTCCAGGCCCTGTTCCCATTAATTTATGACAAACCTATGTAAGCAGTTCTCATTTTCTCATTCAGAATTAAGTTCTTAATTAGAGCAAATGTGCATGACTCCCTGAATAATACTTTGACCAGATGTTTATTTTGCTGATAAAACTATATTCCCTATTGTTATTTTTCAGGTTATTTTTACTCTTTTGCCATACTGGGCTTAGAGTTATTCCAAGGTGTTATAGTTTACTTCCCCAGTGTTAATGGGACCAACTCTACTATTAATGGGACTACATACTATATTCCCTATTGTTATTTTTCAGGTTATTTTTACTCTTTTGCCATACTGGGCCTAGAGTTATTCCAAGGTGTTATAGTTTACTCCCCCAGTGTTAATGGAACCAACTCTACTATTAATGGGACTAAAACTATATTCCCTGTTGTTTCATTTCAGGTTATTTATTACTCTTTTGCCATACTGGGCCTAGAGTTATTCCAAGGTGTTATAGTTTACTCCCCCAGTGTTAATTGGACTAACTCTACTATTAATGGGACTACACACTATATTCCCTATTGTTTTGTTTCAGGTTATTTATTACTCTTTTGCCATACTTGGCCTAGAGTTATTCCAGGGTGTTATAGTTTACTCCCCCAGTGTTAATGGGACCAACTCTACTATTAATGGGACTACATACTATATTCCCTCTTGTTTTGTTTCAGGTTATTTATTACTCTTTTGCCATACTGGGCCTAGAGTTATTCCAAGGTGTTATAGTTTACTGCCCCAGTGTTAATGGGACTAACTCTACTATTAATGGGACTACACACTATATTCCCTATTGTTTTGTTTCAGGTTATTTATTACTCTTTTGCCATACTGGGCCTAGAGTTATTCCAGGGTGTTATAGTTTACTCCCCCAGTGTTAATGGGACTAACTCTACTATTAATGGGACTACACACTATATTCCCTGTTGTTATTTTGTTTCAGGTTATTTATTACTCTTTTGCCATACTGGGCCTAGAGTTATTCCAAGGTGTTATAGTTTACTCCCCCAGTGTTAATGGGACCAACTCTACTATTAATGGGACTACATACTATATTCCCTCTTGTTTTGTTTCAGGTTATTTATTACTCTTTTGCCATACTGGGCCTAGAGTTATTCCAAGGTGTTATAGTTTACTGCCCCGGTGTTAATGGGACTAACTCTACTATTAATGGGACTACACACTATATTCCCTATTGTTTTGTTTCAGGTTATTTATTACTCTTTTGCCATACTGGGCCTAGAGTTATTCCAAGGTGTTATAGTTTACTTCCCCAGTGTTAATGGGACTAACTCTACTATTAATGGGACTACACACTATATTCCCTGTTGTTATTTTGTTTCAGGTTATTTATTACTCTTTTGCCATACTGGGCCTAGAGTTATTCCAAGGTGTTATAGTTTACTCCCCCAGTGTAAATGGGACTAACTCTACTATTAATGGGACTACACACTATATTCCCTATTGTTTTGTTTCAGGTTATTTATTACTCTTTTGCCATACTGGGCCTAGAGTTATTCCAAGGTGTTATAGTTTACTTCCCCAGTGTTAATGGGACCAACTCTACTATTAATGGGACTACATACTATATTCCCTCTTGTTTTGTTTCAGGTTATTTATTACTCTTTTGCCATACTGGGCCTAGAGTTATTCCAAGGTGTTATAGTTTACTCCCCCAGTGTTAATGGGACTAACTCTACTATTAATGGGACTAAAACTATATTCCCTGTTGTTTCGTTTCAGGTTATTTATTACTCTTTTGCCATACTGGGCTTAGAGTTATTCCAGGGTGTTATAGTTTACTCCCCCAGTGTTAATGGGACCAACTCTACTATTAATGGGACTACATACTATATTCCCTCTTGTTTTCTTTCAGGTTATTTATTACTCTTTTGCCATACTGGGCCTAGAGTTATTCCAAGGTGTTATAGTTTACTCCCCAAGTGTTAATGGAACCAACTCTACTATTAATGGGACTAAAACTATATTACTATTGTTTTGTTTCAGGTTATTTATTACTCTTTTGCCATACTGGGCCTAGAGTTATTCCAAGGTGTTATAGTTTACTTCCCCAGTGTTAATGGAACCAACTCTACTATTAATGGGACTACACACTATATTCCCTCTTGTTTTGTTTCAGGTTATTTATTACTCTTTTGCCATACTAGGCCTAGAGTTATTCCAAGGTGTTATAGTTTACTCCCCCAGTGTTAATGGGACTAACTCTGCTATTAATGGGACTACACACTATATTCCCTATTGTTTTGTTTCAGGTTATTTATTACTCTTTTGCCATACTGGGCCTAGAGTTATTCCAAGGTGTTATAGTTTACTCCCCCAGTGTTAATGGGACTAACTCTACTATTAATGAGACTAAATCTATATGCCCTATTGTTTTGTTTCAGGTTATTTATTACTCTTTTGCCATACTGGGCCTAGAGTTATTCCAGGGTGTTATAGTTTACTCCCCCAGTGTTAATGGGACTAACTCTACTATTAATGGGACTACACACTATATTCCCTATTGTTTTGTTTCAGGTTATTTATTACTCTTTTGCCATACTGGGCCTAGAGTTATTCCAAGGTGTTATAGTTAACTCCCCCAGTGTTAATGGGACCAACTCTACTATTAATGGGACTACATACTATATTCCCTCTTGTTTTGTTTCAGGTTATTTATTACTCTTTTGCCATACTGGGCCTAGAGTTATTCCAAGGTGTTATAGTTTACTGCCCCAGTGTTAATGGGACTAACTCTACTATTAATGGGACTACACACTATATTCCCTATTGTTTTGTTTCAGGTTATTTATTACTCTTTTGCCATACTGGGCCTAGAGTTATTCCAAGGTGTTATAATTTACTTCCCCAGTGTTAATGGGACTAACTCTACTATTAATGGGACTACACACTATATTCCCTGTTGTTATTTTGTTTCAGGTTATTTATTACTCTTTTGCCATACTGGGCCTAGAGTTATTCCAAGGTGTTATAGTTTACTCCCCCAGTGTTAATGGGACTAACTCTACTATTAATGGGACTACACACTATATTCCCTATTGTTTCGTTTCAGGTTATTTATTACTCTTTTGCCATACTGGGCTTAGAGTTATTCCAGGGTGTTATAGTTTACTCCCCCAGTGTTAATGGGACCAACTCTACTATTAATGGGACTACATACTATATTCCCTCTTGTTTTCTTTCAGGTTATTTATTACTCTTTTGCCATACTGGGCCTAGAGTTATTCCAAGGTGTTATAGTTTACTCCCCAAGTGTTAATGGAACCAACTCTACTATTAATGGGACTAAAACTATATTACTATTGTTTTGTTTCAGGTTATTTATTACTCTTTTGCCATACTGGGCCTAGAGTTATTCCAAGGTGTTATAGTTTACTCCCCCAGTGTTAATGGGACCAACTCCACTATTAATGGGACTAAAACTATATTACTATTGTTTTGTTTCAGGTTATTTATTACTCTTTTGCCATACTGGGCCTAGAGTTATTCCAAGGTGTTATAGTTTACTCCCCCAGTGTTAATGGGACCAACTCCACTATTAATGGGACTACTCACTTCTCTTGTGGCTCCTACCAACAGTTAGAGTATTGGGCAAACAACTTTGATGACTTTGCGGTAAGTTGATTTTGGGGCTTAATATTTTAGTACACAAGTCGACATATTAAAGATTTGAGTTATCACCAGGCTGGGGTGTAGCCAGGTTTCAGTCAGGGGATGGGATCCCCAAATTTTGACATCACACCCCCTGTCTACGCCTATGCCAGGGGCTTATTAACGGAAAGAATTCCTAAAGTAACTGTTGTGACCATGGATGTAATATTATCATTTACCCAATTTCATTTAACAAGAAAAAGATACAGTATTCATACCTCTACATTACTTGTATTTGAATAAACCATAGAATAAACTGTTACATATTACAGGCAGCGTTAGTGGTATTATGGGACGTAATGGTGGTTAATAACTGGATGGTCTTCCTTCAAGCTTTCTCACAAGTTACCACTCCGTAAGTTGATCATTTTCACTTGCTTGAGCAATACATTATGTGTCTAGCTGAACATTATTTTTATGTCACCGCCACTAGTTATGACATATTGTTATTGTCTCTAACTTTTTTGTTGATGGTGTTTGGCATTCAGTGGTCAGTGTACGGCATCATGGTGTCTGTAACAATTGGCAGCTGGTGACATTTTGCATGTTGATGGCTTCTTTTTATTATAGTTCATCTTCTATAGCAATGCATTTTGGTTCAAGAGTTGTTTGTGCCAAATAGGGATATTGCAGTATGTAATGATTATTTGAAAGTTTCCACTGCCTTGAGTAAGTTGAAGAACGTTGATATCTAAGACTATACATGCATATGTTTCTATTTGCAGTTGGTCTCAGTTGTACTTTGTTGCCTGGTGGCTGATAGCTGTTGTCATCTGCCTTAATCTATTCACAGCTTTAATAATAGAGGTAAGGAGAATTCACTTTAATGATAGAGGTAAGGAGAAATCACTTTACAGAAGTAAGGAGAATTCACTTTAATAATAGAGGTAAGGAGAAATCAATTTAATAATAGAGGTAAGGAAATATCACTTTACAGAGGTAAGAAGAATTCATTTTAATAATAGAGGTAAGGAGAAATCACCTTACAGAGGTAAGGAGAATTCACTTTAATAATAGAGGTAAGGAGAAATCAATTTAATAATAGAGGTAAGGAGATATCACTTTACAGAGGTAAGAAGAATTCATTTTAATAATAGAGGTAAGGAGAAATCACCTTACAGAGGTAAGGAGAATTCACTTTAATAATAGAGGTAAGGAGAAATCAATTTAATAATAGAGGTAAGGAGATATCACTTTACAGAGGTAAGAAGAATTCATTTTAATAATAGAGGTAAGGAGAAATCACCTTACAGAGGTAAGGAGAATTCACTTTAAAAATAGAGGTAAGGAGAATTCACTTTAATAATAGAGGTAAGGAGAAATCAATTTAATAATAGAGGTAAGGAGAAATCACCTTACAGAGGTAAGGAGAATTCACTTTAATAATAGAGGTAAGGAGAAATCAATTTAATAATAGAGGTAAGGAGATATCACTTTACAGAGGTAAGAAGAATTCATTTTAATAAGAGAGGTAAGGAGAAATTACCTTACAGAGGTAAGGATAATTCACTTTAATAATAGAGTAAGGAGAAATCAATTTAATAATAGAGGTAAGGGGATATCACTTTACAGAGGTAAGAAGAATTCATTTTAATAATAGAGGTAAGGAGAAATCACCTTACAGAGGTAAGGAGAATTCACTTTAATAATAGAGGTAAGGAGAAATCAATTTAATAATAGAGGTAAGGAGATATCACTTTACAGAGGCAAGAAGAATTCATTTTAATAATAGAGGTAAGGAGAAATCACCTTACAGAGGTAAGGAGAATTCACTTTAATAATAGAGGTAAGGAGAAATCAATTTAATAATAGAGGTAAGGAGATATCACTTTACAGAGGTAAGAAGAATTCATTTTAATAATAGAGGTAAGGAGAAATCACCTTACAGAGGTAAGGAGAATTCACTTTAATAATAGAGGTAAGGAGAAATCAATTTAATAATAGAGGTAAGGAGAAATCACCTTACAGAGGTAAGGAGAATTCACTTTAATAATAGAGGTAAGGCCATTAAGGGTTGATATCCCGTTTAACATCCTGAGGAAGGGCCTAATCTTAGGTCGGTGTGAGGTGAAAAAAAAACGAATTAAAAGAAACAAAAAAATATATACTATTTTTAGTGTATTTATATTCAGATTTTATTTTATCGCCGATGAACTTCATTCTCCAAACCGAGAATGGTCCTTTGCCTAAATTATAAAAGATTTATTTTTCAGAATTTTATAATGCGCTGGGACAGAAACCAGAGCACAAGAGAGAGATCGGACTCTGCACAAGTGGCAACATTCCACCCACTCACAGTACATGATATGTTCAGGTATTTTTTGTTGTATATGTAATAGAATAAATATGCAGCACACAGTTTCTTAATTGAAGAACACTACATGCACTTTTATATAATTATAGATATTTTTTATGTTTGGGTGTGACAGAATATCTCATTCAAAGGAAGATATTCAATATTATGTTGTATCACATATTTTCCATGCCTTGTAGTTGACCTCATTAATAATTGTGTTTCATTAACACTATAAGCTTTTTGATAATTTATTGGGCCAATTCAGAACATCTGATGCATGATTTAATGTACGACAAATGTTATTAAAGTATGCATCGTGTCCAAATATTAATGCCTGAGTCGATAGAGTAATTTTTTCAAAACTGAATTCAATTTTGAACAAATTCTCAATAATCCAGACGCCGGGTTATGAATCGGAGAAAACATGACCCAGGCATATCAGATGTGGCAAAACAGTTAATTTCTTCATATTGTCGTTGAACATCGTCTCTCTTCCTTTGACAAAAGTTAAGTTGACATATCGCCAAAAACAATATTTTACACCTGACACAATCATCATTTACCCCCTTCTCAGAAAATCATTTACTTTCCTCCCACAGTTGTTGCCATATTAGATGATACCAATTTTTAATTGTAGAGACTTACTAAAAGAGCCTACAGAGGAGGAACTCATGGTGGAGCTTAGATGTCATGAACATCTCACCATTAGGTAGCAGCACTGTTCCAAAATGGCCGCCACAAATCCAACATGGCTGACAATAGTTTGTTACAGAATGATCTCCATGAGTTCAAGACAAGTGTTTGAAATTCCCGAATTCAAGACTGTCATAAGACAAGCTCACCATAGTCTATTGAAGTTCAATTCAACTATCATAATGAATAGATAACATCAGAAACTCTAATTCCACATGGCTACCACAAATTCACTGCATATGCTACAAATTCAACATGGCTACCACAAATTTCCTACAGTCTATAAATTTAACGTGGCTGCCACAAAGTCACAGTAGACCACGGACTCAACATGATGACCACAGATTTACTGCATATGCTACAAATTCAATATTACATTAATGAGGACCATCACAAAGAGCCATCTCCAACTTTAAGGTATGCCTAGTTAGACTAGTTAGATTGTTTGCCTCCTGACTTGACATGATGAACCATTTATCCAATATAGAATAAATACCTGGATACCACTTGTACAGTTATGATTATCTATGAGACATGATTTAGTATGCAGATTTTTGCATCTTAATCTTTTATGTTTGGTTCATCATGACTGGACTGAAATAGGCTTAGTTTAAGCTGACTAACATATAGTTAAGACTAGGCAATCTAATTAATACTAGGCATAAGAAACGAGGCATAATCAAACTATGCTAGAAATTTAGGATGCGCCTGTATACTACAGGCATAACTACATGTACAACTGAGGCATAATAATAATTTTAACCAAAAGAGTTTCAATAAAACTAGGATCTTGTAACAAGGTTATCTTGATGGACAGACAACCTAATCTAAAGAATGTTTTTATTTTGTTTATACTAATAATTATTATTGCACTGTCATTGTACATATATATGTCCATATTGGCCAGCTATTCAAGAATATATTTAACCCTTGATAGTGCAGTATTTTCAAAGATAAGTCATCTGTTATAGTAGTATGTAATCTGTATAGAGTTAGGTACATGAACATGTAGTAGGCTTACATAAACGTTTCTTAATACAAAAGTACTTTCTATATGTATGTGCAATGTGCTTGTTTGATTTTGAGGCATGGATTTCCTAGAATCTACCCCATGTTTGGTTGAATATTGTCACATATTCATCAATACCAAAGCAATGAACAGTAGGAACTGATAATCGATCTACAAAAAATATACAATATTATAAGTTATTGAATGATTTGAAGTGCAATACAGGATATATTCTGTTCGAGATATTTTGTATTGGAATGAGATGAAGTCGAGTGCCAATACAGAATATAGAGACAGAATATATCCTTATATCTTTAAAGATGTGATGAGTATCGGAATGAAAATGTGGCTGGGGAAGAGAATATGATTCTCAAAATCTTTAGTTCAATTTTTGTAATTTTATTGTAACAAGAATAAATAGGTGTGAAGTGTATAGTATTGCTCTCTAAAGCATTTCTCTAGAAACAGTTTTAATACAGTAAAACACTTGGGAGATGTTCTACTTACTATAAAACATTGTGTCAGTTTGTCTTTGGATTCTGCAGTGTTCCACTTATGGAAGTGTTCCACCCAGGGGTGGATCTGGGAACCAAAAGGGGGGGGGGGGGGCAAATTTCAGGTCAGAGAAAAAAGTTTCGGGCCCATAAAACCCAAAAGAAATAAAACCCAAATAAATCTTGAGGCCCATTTTCTTCAAAATGTGGCCTGAAATTGAAAAATAGGGCTTAAAGGCCCAGTAATGATCTAAAAAGCCCACTTTTTGGGGCCTTATGGCCAATTTATTTTCTGCCCCCCCCCCCCCCCCCAGATCCGCCAGTGCCACCTACAGAGGTGCACCACAATACAGGTTTTACTGTAGATATTAGAGAAATTATGTTTTTCTCAGGGCAGTATAAACAAAATTTTCTGAGAGAATTTCAAGTCATTGCCTTTAAAACAAACATTGAACAAACTTCCTTTATGTCATTATATTATTAGTGTACCTTGCGAACTATGTGAATCAGGGTAGGGGCTAAATATGCCGATTATTATTGATATTTACGTGCAGTAAAATTGTGATGCAATATTTATTATGTGTCGTATTGTAGACTTACTAATATGGCCAGGGCATGACAAGACTTTAGGCTATTGTAATATATTTTTTGAATTGTTATATTGTTTAGTTTTGTTATGTTTTGTACTCTATCTGTGTAGATGAGTATAGATGCTCATTGTACACATTCTAATACTCATAGCATCTTTCTGTTTCACCTGAAACTCAGGGCTGAGAAGAAATGAGATGTCATGGTATATCATGATGCATTGTACACATCTACAATAACTTAACATGGCTTATGTTAAAACAAATGTGTACAATAACTTAACATGGCTTATGTTAAAACAAATGTGTACAATAACTTAACATAGCTTATGTTAAAACAAATGTGTACAATAACTTAACATGGCTTATGTTAAAACAAATGTGTACAATAACTTAACATGGCTTATGTTAAAACAAATGTGTACAATAACTTAACATGGCTTATGTTAAAACAAATGTGTACAATAACTTAACATGGCTTATGTTAAAACAAATGTGTACAATAACTTAACATGGCTTATGTTAAAACAAATGTGTACAATAAATTAACATGGCTTATGTTAAAACAAATGTGTACAATAACTTAACATGGCTTATGTTTAAACAAATGTGTACAATAAATCAATATGGCTTATGTTAAAACAAATGTGTACAATAACTTAACATAGCTTATGTTAAAACAAACATGTAAAGTAATTAGTGCCTGAATGACAGTAAGATTCCATTGTCGATGACGACAGTGACATTTCTGATGTCGTTAGCAAACTGGCGTGGCCAAGTCCAGAATTTAATTCTACCGTCATCAGCCGATTGTCGTTCTGTCGTTCAGGCACTAATAGTAACTTAACATGGTTTATGTTACATTTTTTAGTTTCGTTATGTACTGTCAGAATAAATCATAATTGAGGACAATTTAAAAAACTATAAATGTGAAATTACCAAAAGAATTCTGATAGTCTATTAGTATGTATATATGTGCTATACATTATTAGCCGAAGTAGTAATAGTTTATGCTTTATGATATGAACAAGAATGGAACATAGGATATTCTTGGTAGATATTCAAGATAAACCAGATAGTTATCTGAATGAATTATCTCACTGAAGATGAAGGTCATAAGAATGGGAAAAACATAAATAGAATGTCTGGATCTACTGAAGATGACGAGAGATGAAGATTATATTACATGTGATATCGCTAATTTAATGGTTCTATATGTGAAATATCATGTCAAATGCTGCTGTATCTAGTTTTTTTACAGTCTGGTCAGTTATAAGTGACAAATTCGGAACACTTTTAAGAACTACTTATACAGGTTTTACTGTAGTGCTCTGCTGCAATTATAAAAACTTGGACACATGTTGTAATTATAAAAACTTGGACACATGTTGTAATTATAAAAACTTGTGTTGTAATTTTGACAAATAGGACATGACTATCAAAACTGAGAATGGTAGATTGTGACAAAACAATGCTTATGATATGTATTGAATGATTACTTATAAATATATATATTTTTACTTATATAGGATAAAAACATATATTTGCATCATTTGTTGTTCTGTGAAATGATATAAAACACATACTATTCTGTGAACAGTATGTTATCTTTAAATTAGTTGATCAAGTGTTTTTATTAGTTTTTTATCAGTGTGTGGGTTAAATGTCATGATCTTTAGAAGTTTTATCTTGTAGACAGATATGGGCTGCCTTACACTCCTTACATACTGTTAGTCTCATGTTCTTATATGTGATAGAAACAATAACAACTTAAATCTGCATTTCAATACATACAAGTAACAGTATAGCAAAAAATAACTATTGTACGTTAAATTGTCAAGTTGCTGAATATTGCAATTTTTGACGTGCAAGTATCTTTACTTAATCAAAAGTCAAGTATTTTCCATAATTTCGTTTGAGTAAACACATTTTGTATGTCCTGTAATAAAGTTTAGAGGGATTGGTGCTTAAAGACATTTCTCTGATAACCAGATGCTTGGACACATACTGTTTGAACACCTGCTTAAGTACAATTTCACAATACCTGAAATGCACATATGTATGTATGCGTTTAAATGACGTCCAGAAGCTAGAACTGACTCTAGATTAAGCTCACATAATGAAAAAATGAAAAGATTGGAAAAATATTTGACTCAGGCAGCTGCTTGGGATGGTACACATGGTCTAGAAACTTGATACAAAAATAACATTTGAATTTCAATTTACTTTGATAGCTTTGGTAAAACTATAGTACAAAAACTTATTATTGGTCAAGAAAACTTTGTGACTGTATGATTATAAAAACTTTGTGAATCATTTAAGTGCATACAGTCATAGTCTTGACATTATCAAAGCTTTATCAATTACCTTTGATTTGGACTTCTCTCATGTCATGGCTAATTCTTAAGATTGGTCTAAGTTAACTATTGTAACGGTTACAATTTTCTGACAATATGTAATCCAGAATGTGAAAGTCGCTCATCTAAATAATTCTTTCTTACAGAATCGCTAATGATGATAGTAAAAAGCAAAACATTAGCAAAAATGGAGAATTATAGGGGTTTATTGAAGATAAGCACACCAAAATACCAGCTATGATTATCCTGTGAGCAATGTTTCATGTTAGTTATGATTTGAGGCATGGGACAGAATGGAATATAGAGGACTCCGTTTACTTTGGTTACCATGGCAATTTGTTGACAATCTAAACAATATGGACATAAATATATGCCACATGTACTTATATGTTGTTTCATGTATCAGATTTTGAAAGTAAAAAGATTTGTAGAAGGGTGGTTATTTTTGCATGTTCAGGTGTCGGTGTCAAGTGCTTGTTCACATTTTAATGATTTATAAACTAGTCAATTCTGAATAATCAAAATATATTTTGGGAATCAAAGTTTCATAAAATTTCAGAAGATCATCGCCCAACTTAAAAAGAACCCATTCTTCAAAAGCAGGATTTTTAATTCATTTCTGTTTCAATAGCCACCATAATTCACATTAATTAAGACATATTTGATGATAAAAAAAGATAAAATGTCTTCTCTTGAGAAGTTTTTCTGCAAAACATTTTGAACAACCCTTATACATAACAAGTAGAGATTGTTTTCTTGAGGAAGGTGCAACATGAGTGTCATCATTAAGGCCTGAATTCAGTTACTTTCTCTCTGCATTTCCATCCAATTATTTCAAGTGAAGAATTCTTGA